GCTCCCCGCTTATGCAAATGAAGCCCGGGAAATTCAAATCCCGGGCTTCATTTGCACTAAGGGTATGTCTACACTACCCCGCTAGTTCGAACTAGCGGGGTAGTGTAGACATACCCTTAGAGCTAAATTGTTGTACTCTATGTAAACCAGAGGGATTGTGTGTCTAGGAGCAGAGCTGGAAAATGACCACTGTGAAACCATAGGACTGGCTGCAGTATGAGCTCTCTCCACCTAGTAAAGCCAGATCTTGTCATGGCTAAGGGTATGTCTACACTACCCCGCTAGTTCGAACTAGCGGGGTAGTGTAGACATACCCTTAGAGCTAAATTGTTGTACTCTATGTAAACCAGAGGGATTGTGTGTCTAGGAGCAGAGCTGGAAAATGACCACTGTGAAACCATAGGACTGGCTGCAGTATGAGCTCTCTCCACCTAGTAAAGCCAGATCTTGTCATGGAAGGATAACCATTGCTTGTCCTCTTTATGTTCCTTTTGGGAAAGCTAGCATTGCTAGCCTTAGTGGTTGGTCCCTACCATGGGTATACAAAGTAAGGCGCACAAGCTCTTTTTTTCCCTGCTACCCCAGCTTTGTACACCTGCATAGCTTCTAATCACTGTGTTGTCCACTCTCTTTGTGTCTCTAGGGGTGTGTCTACACTGCACCCATAACTCGAAATAAGCTACGCAATTTGAGCTATGCAAACTGTGTAGTTTATTTTGAGTCAACTTCTAAATAGCTTATTTTGAAATTTGGCACTGTCTACACAGCACTTATTTCAAAATAAATCATTATCCAAAACGTCCTTTACTCCTTGTAGAATGAGGTTTACAGGGACGTTGGAATAGCAAGCCTGTTAGGCTGTGTCTACATTGGCACCCCTTTCCGGAAAAGGGATGCTAATGTAGACTTCGGAATTGCAAATTCCGCGGGGGATTTAAATATCCCCCGTGGCATTTGCATTTACATGGCTGCCGCTTTTTTCCGGCTTGGGGATAAGCCGGAGAAAAGTGCCAGTCTAGACGTGATTCTTTGGAAAATAAGCCCTTTTCCGGAGGATCTCTTATTCCTTTTTTCAAGTAGGAATAAGAGATCCTCCGGAAAAGGGCTTATTTTCCGGAGAATCACATCTAGACTGGCGCTTTTCTCCGGCTTATCCGCAAGCCGGAAAAAAGTGGCAGCCATGTAAATGCAAATGCCGCGGGGGATATTTAAATCCCCTGCAGAATTTGCAATTCCGAAGTCTACATTAGCATCCCTTTTCCGGAAAGGGTTGCCAATGTAGACAGAGCCTTATATTTTGAAATTATGGGCATGCTCAAAAGACGCAAAATAGCTATTTTGGGATACCTCCAGTATCCTGAAGTAGTGCTGTAGTGTTGATGTAGCCTGTATAACATGGGGATAATATTACTCACCTCAAATAGATGTTGTGAGGTGTAACTCAGCAAGGCATTTAAGCATGTACTTTTTAGCCCTATTGAGGAAAGCACTTACATAAAATCTGAAATTCCATTGAGCCAATGAGACTTTTACACATGCTGAATACAGAAGGACAGAAACATGCACTTACATCAGGAGTAAGCAATAATTTTTTACTTCAGAAGTGGCCCTGGGCCAAGGGGTGAGGCCAGGACACTTCAGTGCTTCCTTGCCCACAGACCCTAATTGGTTTGGGCGTGGGGGGAATGTGAAGTCTTGCACTCCTTGCCTGCCAGCGGGCAGCACTTGGAGTCAACCGCCCACTGAATGCCCTTCTGCCACCCCTGGCTTACATGCTTGACTTAGTCATCATTTTAAACATTATTTACATGTAAAGAAAAACAAAATTAACAATTGACTCTTCATCAGTTATAAAAGTTGTTATATCCCTAAAATATTAGTCTAATTCACAAGCTACCATGGCATTTCACAGGTTCAGTATTACTCTTTTACTTAAATCGTGTAAACTAATTAGTCTGTCTCAACAAAGGAAACACCATTAAATTATGGTTTATGTGTGGCCATGCTAATAAAGACTCAAGCCAAGATTACATAAAAAGTGGAAAATAAGAACTGTTTTTAACTGCATCCAGGTGAACCAGCAGCACACATCAGAGATACAAGCGTTTTATGTTGTATGTTAAGCCATATATCTTCACATTATTCCTTCTAGAACTTTTAGTAAATTACTTCAGGGAGAATAATAGACAGTATGGCTAAAATGAAAATTGAGGTAAGCACAACATATGGGTATCCTTGTTAAGATGACTGAAGGGGAAATTCAGCATAAGCAATACATCCTAATTTACTTTTCCTTCCCTTTGTGAAATTCCCTAGCACTTCCTAGTTCATTAAACACATCCAAGATCCCTCATTCTTTGACAATATTTGTATTAGAAGATTTGTGCTATCAGTATTTCACAGAATGATGCATTCTGGGACAACTTTAATACTGTTGAGAAACATCAGCACATTTTTTGAAAAAAAAACCTATGGTTTTTGGACAATGAAACATATAGATTAATACAAACCATTTGGAGTTCAGCTCACTCTCTCAACAGTCTTTTTCCATATTTGGATACAGAGGGTAGTTCCTTTTGTCTATTTGGAAATGAGAACTACAATGAGAAGTCATAGATATGGCACAAGGACACACTATAATTATACAATAAATGATTTACTTGCTATTTGAATTCAGTTTTAAGAAGGACATTCTGTAGCATATTATAACATAGGGAAAACCAGAAACAAATCTGAGAAGGAGTTTGGTCAGCAAATTGTATTCCATACAGCAATGCTACTTGTTTTTATAACCAACTTTTCACTGATAATAGAGTGCTTTACAAATGGCTTTGTGAACCAATTCCTTAGCAACACTCATATCAGGAACTGGAGGCCAAGGATGTAACTGGCATTATTCTTTCTTAAATATTATATGTACACTACTATGAACAGATTGTCTTTCAAATTCTGTTTTAGAGGGGTTGGTAAAAGTAGGATATATAAAAAAGCTATAGATTTATGCATGCTGCAATTTTGAAATTCTAAAGAACCTGCATTAATGCAGAATTGTTAAAAATTCAGGAATATTGCAGAATTTATGTTATTTTACTTCAGAAACTAATTACAACTTGCTTCCCAATTTAAAGAACCCTGGTTCTATCTAAAAAGCGAGTGAATGTAAATGAACCCCAGGGAACTACAGACCAATTAGCTTCACCTCAGTCCCTGGAAAAATCAATTCTCAAGGAATATTTTGAAACACTTGGAGGAAAGTAAGATGATCAGGAACGTTCAATGTGGTTTCTCCAAGGGCAAGTCATTCCTGAGCAACCTAATTGCATTCTCTGATGCGATAACTGGCTCTTTGGATATGGGGAAAGTGGTGGATGTGCTATACCTAGACTTTAGCTTTTTTTAGACCAAGTTTTTAATATGGTCTCCAGTAGTATTCTTATCAGCAAGTTAAGGAAGTATGGATTGAATGAATGGACTATAAAGTGTCTAGAAAGCTGGCTAGACTGTCAGGCTTAACAGATAGTGATCAATGGATCGATGTCTACTTAGCCACCAGTATCAAGCAGAGTGCCTCAATGGTTGATCCTGGTGCTGGTTTTGTTCAACAACTTCATTAATAGGAAAAACTGAAAAAAACAACAAATAGCACCTTAAAGACTAACAAAACATGTAGATGGTATCATGAGCTTTCGTGGGCGCAACCCACTTCTTCAGGTGACAGGAGTATTAGAAGTCCAGATCCAAGACTTCTAATACTCCTGTCATCTGAAGAAGTGGGTAGTGCTGGACTTCTATTACAAGTATTATTAGTTTATTTGTTGTTTTTTAAGTTTTACCTGTTACAGACTAACTTGACTACCCCTCTGAAACTTCATTAATGATCTGGTTGACGGGATAGATTGCACCCTCAGCAAAGTTTGCGGATGACACTAAATTGGGGGGAAAAGTAGATGTGTTGGAGGATAAGGATAGGGTCCAGAGTGACCTATACAAATTGGAGGGTTGGGTCAAAAGAAATCTGATGAGGATCAACAAGGACAAGTTCAGAGTCCTGCACTTGGGATGGAAAAATCCCAAGCAGTGCTACAGGTTGGGGACCAATTGACTAAGCAGCAGTTCGCCAGGAGAGAACAGGGGATTACAGTAGACGAGAAGCTAGATATAAGTCAGCAATGTGTTCTTGTAGCCAAGAAGGCATTTTGGGCTGCATTAGTGGGAATATTGCCAGCAGATTGAAGGAAGTGATTATTCCCCTCTATTTGGCACTGGTGAGGTCACATCTGGAGTATCACATTCTGTTTTGGGCCCCACATTACAGAGAGGATGTGGACAAATTGAAGAGAGTCCAGTGGACAGCAGTGAAAGTTATTAGGGGGCTGATACACATGACTTATGAGGAGAGGCTAGGAGAATTAGGTTTATTTAGTCTGCAGAAAAGAAAAATGAAAAGAGTTTTGATTGGTGGGGGGGTGTTCCAAAGAGGTTGGAGCTAGGCTGTCTTCCATGGTGGCAGATGACAAAACAAGAAGCAATGATCTCAACTGGCAGTGGTGGAGGTCTAAGTTTGATACTAGGCTTGATATTTCAAAAGGAGGATGGTGAGGCTCTGTAATTGATGGCCTAGGGAGGTGGTGGAATCTCCATCCTTTAAGACCAGGCTTGACAAAGTCCTGGCTGGAATGATTAAGTTTGGCATTGGTTCTGCTTTGAGAAAGTTGGGCTATGATCTCCTGAGCTCTCTTTCAACTTTAATCAGGGCATAATTTTTCTTTACACTAAGGCTATTTTGCACAACCTGGCAGTGTTAACTGACCATAAAATTATACTTACATTAGTTTCACAGTCCTTTAGGAGTGCCAAAGCAGTGTAAAATGGCCACCGTGTGAATGAAAATTAGGGTATGTAAACACTTATGCTACAACATCTCTACCTCTCCAAAAGGTGATAGCTAAGTCGAGGAATTAATTCTTCCATTGACCTGGCCCTGCCTACATTTAGGTTGGCATCATTGCATCTCTCAGGAACTTGGATTTTTCACATCTCTGAGGCTACGTCTACACTGCACAGTTATTTTGGAATAAACTATTCCGGAATAGTTATTCTGAAATAGCTCATTTTGAAATAGCACATCTACACTGCAGGGAAGCCTGAAAATTAGTCCAAGGCAGGCTTCCCTAATGTAGACATGCTATCTCGATTTAGAGCCCCAGGAGGAATAACTTAAACTGGCCCTGGTGAGGGGCTATTTTAGAATAGCAGAAGTGGAGCATCTACACATGCTTTATTTTGAAATAGCTATTTCAGAATAGATGTTATTCTTCATAGAATGAGGTTAACAGAAGCTGGAAAAAGCTGTTCATTATTTCGAAATTATTTCAAAATAACAGAATTGCTGTGTAGACACTCGCATGGTTATTTTGGAATAACAGCTATTATTCTGAAATAACATTGCTGTGTACACACATTCTGAGGGTATGTCTAGACTACAAGCCTCTTTGGAAAGAGGCTTTTTTGAAAGATACTTTCGAAAAAGCCTCTTTTGAAAGAAAGTGTCTAGACTACAGCCACTACTTTCAAAAAAGTGAGCTGCTTTTTCGAAAGTGTGCACCCAGGCAGTCTGGATGCTCTCTTTCAAAAAATCAGTTTACATTACATAGTGCCTTTTTTTGAAAGAGCACTTTTGAAAAAAGGTGTTCTTCCTCGTAAAACGAGGTTTTCTGTGGTTGAAAAAACTGCCGTGGTCTTTCAATTTACTTTTGAAAGAACGTGGAAGCAGTCTAGACGCAGAGGAAATTTTTTCGAACAAAGACCACTTTTTTTGAAGAAACTCTGCAGTCTGAGGGTATGTCTACACTTGCAGCCTATTTCAGAATAGGGCTGCAAATGTAGGCATTTGGAATTGCAAATCAAGCCTGAGATTTAAATATCCCGCACTTGATTTGCATCTTCCCGGCTGGGTCACATTTTTTGAAATTTACAAGCCCGGAATAACTTCCCGCATCTACACGTGGCAGGGAAACGGGCATAAGAAATAAAGCCCTATTTCGAACTACCTGTTAAACCTCATTGCAGGAGGAATAACAGGTAGTTCAAATAGGGCTTTATTTCGAACGCCCGTTTCACTGCTGCATGTAGACAATGGGACCTTAATAACTAGTGACAAATAAGCCAACAATTAGTTATAGAGACAGACATCTTGAAAATCACACTTCTGTCCTGTTTTTTCTACTTGCATTACAGTAACACCAAAGATCATTATAACTGAAAGAGATTAGAGAGGCAGAATTATTTGTTTTATTTTTGCCCAGTTTTTCACTTTATGTGTTTGTTAGCACGTTAGTGCTATTTCAGGAAAACAGGAAAGCAAGTGCTTGACTTTAAACTCACTTCTTTAGTTGGGGTATTTGTGTCTAACCAATTTCCTTCCTCTGCCTCTGGCTTTCTGGAGTCAGCCGCTGATCAGTATCAGCAGTGGCTGACTTGGGGACACCTGGGGCAGAGCAGCTGGGGTGCTGTTGGGTTGGTCCAGTAGCGCCGAGGAGCGGCGCTGCGGGACCAACCCATCAGCACCACAGCTGCTCTGCCCCAGGTGTCCCCAAGAGCAGCTGGGGGGCCCAAGCTGGGGTGCTGACAGGTTGGTCTCGCGGCGCCAAGGGTCGGCGCTACCGGACCAACCCAGCAGCACCCCAGCTGCTCTGCTGCAGGCGTCCCCGATTCAGCCGCTGCTGAAACTGACCAGCAGCGGCTGAATCGGGGACTCCTGGGGCACAGCCGGACTATCAGAAGGGAAGGCTATGAGGGGGTCTGGGGTAGCATCCTCCCACCCCACCCCAGACCCCTCATAGCCCCCCCTTCTGATAGTCCGGCATATCTGATAATCCGGCACCCCTTGGGTCGTAAAGGTGCTGGATTATTGGAAGTTTACTGTAGCTAGAAACTTCATTTCCATGACCACTTTTCCCCCAGACATACCAGCTTACATTTCTCAAGCTGATTATAGATCTCCATATATTATTTCTTTGTCTCCTTGGTGATTTCAGCACCCAGCTCTCAATTTAGCATCATCTGTGAATTTCATTAACATGCTCTTTAACCTCCCATTAGTATCAATGTTAAATAAAACAAGACCTACCACTGAACCTCGTGGTACCCAACCAAATAGCTTTCCTCAATTCAATACATTGTTGTTTAATCTTAACCTTTGTTTACCTTGGTTTAGTCAGTTTTCATTTCATGTGACAGAATTCATATTGAGCCAATTTGAATTAATTTTGCAAGCAAGATTTCCAGACATGCTTCCACAAATGCTTCTGGAGTAAAATTTAGTGTTGCTGGGAAGGGAAGAGTATCTAAAATACATAGAGTTATTTGTGTTCTCTTTGTACAAAAGGATGAACAAAAATTTTGTTAGTGGACCTTAAGGTATTGCCTGGACATGAAAAAATGGCCTGATCATCTTGCATGATTCAAAATGTTTATGCATTAACATTTTTCTTGGCAGTATTGTTGTAGCCTTGTTGGTCTAGGATATTAGAGACAAGGTCTGTGAGGTAATATTTTTAATTGAACCAAGCCCTTGAGCTTAAACAGAGCTCTTCTTCAGGTCTGGGAAAGGACCTCCTTTCAAATAAGGTTGAATACTTGCTGCTTTCAACAACAAAATTTGGTCCAATCGAAGATATTACCTCCATGTCTCTCTGTATGAACAGTAAACTGTCTTTGAAATGTAATGTGCAGGTATTGGGCCAAATTGTTGAGGTGCACAGGGAAGTAAAGTACCTAATTTTATACAAAAATTGAGTCTGATTCTCCTCAACCTTCTGCTGGTTTTACACTGTTGTAACTCCAGAAGGGGTACAACTAATTTTCTCTGATACAGGATAGAGGAAACTTAATTCCAATGTTTGTATGATTACTTGCTAAACAAACTGGTGCATTTTTCATTGTATGTATATGATAAATAATTTTTCAGTGCTTTATTTAAATAACATAGAGTAACAGGTATTGTGTAAAAAGGATCAAACTTATTGCAATTGGCCATTTTCAGATTAAAATGTTTATTTACAACCTTCTATTTTGCATTCCTTTAATCACAGAAATCATTCACATTCTGAACAGCTAGATTTATGAATACTATATAAATGCTTTTCCCAGAGAAAAATTTACTTTTTTAGCAGGAATATATTAAAAGCTTAGTCAGGGACATGTTATATCTGGTTCCTTTCCAATTTTAAAAATGTGTAAATTCTCTTTTTAATGTTCTAGGGGAAAGCAATGGTATTTGCTCCACTCAGAGGGAATACTTTAAACCAGTTTTGCAATCTAGCTGAAAAAGCTGGTTTCTCTGTCCAAAGACATGAAAATTATGATGAACATATTTCGAACTTCCACTCCAAGGTTAGTTTTCTGCTTGTGTTAGATAACACTTTAATCCGCATTGCATTTTGAAGAGATCATGGTCCTTTTGGCAGGTAACCTAAATGTTTGATTAAAGTACTCCTTAGGTGTGCTGTTTCTGAACAGCTATTTGGTATCTGATTATTTTGTGTGGTAGAACCATCCTTTATCTTTGCCTGTCTAGAAGAATTTTATAGAAGCATCTCTTGGTTGCCCTTTTTATATAATCAGTCTTTCATTCAGAACAGTCTAATTTATTATATCCATTTTTTAAAAATTTGCTGGTTAGTCACCTATATATATTTGGAAAACTAACATTTACATTTTAATTATAAGCTTGCAACTTCTAACTAGGTTAAATACAGAAATAAAAATAAGGTGAATGTCTAATTGTATCATATCATACTTTAAATCCTTATCTCTGGTTGCTTTATGGCTGGGTCAGTTGGCAGCTTCAAACTGCTAAATCTCATACAGAATTTCACAGTTGTGGGGTTATATGTCAGATCGAGGCACTACAAGATTTAGGTCAAAAGCACTTATCTGAGCGTGATTTCTAAGCTTGCTTACATAAAGCTACTGTTATCAGTCTCTTTTTGTATTATTTATAGGTGTAGAGTAATATAGGACACAGAAAAGAAGGTGTTTCACAGAAAGCTTTTTAGGAATCTCTTATTTTCCGGTACACATGCAGCAGTGCTTATCAAAATCATATTATTACTTACATTTTTTAGATCACTGTTTCATACCTTAAAGAACTGCAGTGTTGTGAGCCCATTTGACCTCTGTGACATTAACTTTATCCCCTAACAGTTTTGGAAGTATTTCCTGTGCAAAATACTGGCCTCCTCAGAATTTAATCTTGATTTGTTTCAGATACCTACCCATGCACCATAACATAGGAATTAGATTATATTAAAAATACATATGTAAATAATATTCTAAAGGAAAAATTCTAAGTATTTTCTTTGATTTTTTTGTAATTTTCACTTTGTGTAATTGATGCAGTGGCCTGATTCTCCTCACATTAAGATCAGGCTATTTTACTTCTGGGTAACTTTACTGACATCAGTGGAGTTACTCCTAATTTACATCAGCGTCAAAGAGATCAGAAAATCAAGTCCAGTATCATTCATTTCAGTCATTAACTAGGACTTTTCTTTCTGTAAGCACTTGGAAAGGAATGCAATTTTTCTCCTGTTGTTTCATGGTGTGCATAGTTTTTCCCCCTTTGGTCCCTGCACCCAGATCTCTACCCATGAAGCATGAGAGAAAGTTGTAATTATCTTCACCCAGTGATTGACCCACAACTGAAATGGCTGTTCCCCATCCCCCATGAAGTACACACATATTTTTTTCTCTCTCTTTTTTTTTTTTTTTTTTGTGGTGTGAGGAAAGAAAATCCTAGGGACATTTCATGGTGTGAATGCATTCTGATATGTGCTCTACCTCATGCCAAAGGCTAGATACAAGAAAAATATTTTGTTTATTTAATTTATTTAAATGATGGGCATCTTTACCTCACTTGAAAGCATATGAAATATAAATTTCCAAACAGTCTTTTGTTTTGAATAAATTTCTTGAGTTGTACAACATTTTTGCGCTA